TTACCTGTTTTCTACTTCTTCCAATGTCCATCCCACTTGTCTTTCTGAGTGAGGATTGATCATCTTACCCAGAGTCCTCCTTCTTGCTTAGCTTCTTTAGGTGTATAGATTTTAGTATGTTTATCTTATATTATATGTCTAATATTCACTTATAAGTAAGTATATACCCTGTGTGTCTTTTTGCTTCTGGGATACCTCACTCATTGACACAGGAGACAACTTCCTGAACAGAACACCAACAGTACAGGCTCTAAAAGCAACAATCAATAAATGGGACCTCATGAAACTGAAAAGCTTCTGTAAAGCAAAGGACACTGTCATCAGAACAAAACGACTGCCTACAGACTGGGAAAGGATCTTCACCATCCCTATATCTGACAGGGGGCTAATATCCAGAATATATAAAGAACTTAAGAAGTTAAACAACAAAAAAATCAAGTAATCCAATTTTAAAAATGGGTTACAGAGTTAGAGAATCTCAATAGAAGAATATTGAATGGCAGAGAAACACTTAAAGAAATGCTCAGTCTCCTTAGTTATCAAGGAAATGCAAATCAAAACGACCCTGAGATTTTACCTTACACCCATCAGAATGTCTAAGATCAAAAACTCAAGTGACAACACATGCTGGAGAGGATGTGGTCGTACATTTCCACTGTTGGTGCAATTGTAAACTTGTACAACCACTTTGGAAATCCATCTGGCGCTTTCACAGACAATTAAGAATAGTGCTACCTCGAGTTCCAGCTATACCACTTTTAGGCATATAAACCTGGAGCCAACCCAGATGTCCATCAACAGAGGAATGGATACAGAAATTGTGGTATATTTACACAATGGAAGACTACTCAGCAATTAAAAACAAGGAATTCATGAAATTTGCAAGCAAATGGTGGGATCTAGAAAAGATTATCCTGAGTGAGGTATCCAAGAAGCAGAAAGTCACACACAGTATATACTCACTTAAAGTGGATAGGAGACCTATAATAGAGGGTAAACATACTAAAATCTGTACACCTAAAGAAGCTAAGCAAGAAGGAGGACTCTGGGTAAGATGATCAATCCTCACTCAGAAAGAAAAGCGAGATGGACATTGGAAGAAGGAGAAAAGAGTAAACAAGACAGGAGTCTTCCTCAGAGGGCCTGTGAAAGGCTCTACCCAGCAGTGCATTAAAGCAGATGCTGAGACTCTTAACCAAACATTGGGCAGAGTGCAGGGAATCATATAAAAGAAGGGGGAGTTAGTATGACCTGGAGAGTACAGGAGCTCCACAAGGACCAAATATATCTGGACACAGGGGTCTTTTATGAGACTGTATCTCCAACCAAAGACCATGTATGGATATAACCTAGAACCCCTACTCTAGTGTAGCCCATGGTAGCTCAGTGTCCAAGTGGGTTTCCCTAGTAAGGGGAACAAGGACTATTTCTGACATGAACTCAATGGCTGGCTCTTTGACCTCCACCCCCACCCCCGAGGGAGAAGCAGCCTTACTAGGACACAGAGTAGGACATTGAGCCCAGTCCTGGAGATACCTGATATGCTAGGGTCAGATGGAAGGGGAGGAGGACTTGGAAAGTGGCAGGGAGGAGATGAGGGAGGGAGGGTGGGATTGGGAGGGAATGAGGGATCTGGCTACAACTGGGATACAAAATTAATAAACTGTAACTAATATTTAAAAAATAAAAATTTAATTAAAAAAAAAAAACAAAATATGCTCAAGTATACAAGGACATTTGCTCAGCCATGTTTGTTGCAGCTTTATTCGTAATAGCCAGACTCTGGAAACAACCCAGATTTCCTCAACTAAGGAATGGATACATAAATTGTGGTACATTTACACAATGGAATACTACTCAGCAATTAAAAACAAGGAATTCATAAAATTTGTAGGCAAATGGTGGGACCTAGAAAAGATCATCCTGAGTGAGATAACCCTGAAGCAGATAGAATTTCTAATATTTGGTAAATTGATACAGCTTAAAAATCAATAATGTTTTATCTATTCAGCCTCTATTTTTGTCAAGAAATCCCACAAATTATTGTTCTTAAATTATAAAATAAAATATAGGAGTGTTGGGGATATATCTCAGAGGTCAAGAACACTGGCTAAGATGGGTGTTTTGGCACTTGCCTGTAATTGCTTCACTGGGGAAGGCAGAAGCAGGAGAATCTCTGTGAGCTCAAGGCCAATCTGGTCTACAAAGCAAGTCCAGGACAACCAAGGTTATACACAGTAACCCTGTCTTGAAAAACAAAGAAACAAAAAAAGAGCACTGGCTACTCTTCCAGGATCCAGGAAGAGTACAGGCTACTCTTCCTATTCTTCTAAGGTCCAGGTTCAATTCCCAGTACAGACATGGTTGTATACAGTCTTCTGTAACTTCAGTCTAAGGAGATCCAATGCCCTTTTCTGGCCTCCAAGAACACGAGGCATGCACATGGCACACAGACATACATGAAGAAAAACCACCTTTATGCATAAAATTAAACAAATTACAAATTGTAAGATCTCAAACACAAGGATTTGAGATGAGTATGCAATGACGTTTTTGTGCCAGACATAAGAAATTGAAAACATATTCATGGCTCAGAAAAATCAGTAACAGAGAGCATTGTGTATGTATGTATTGATATTCTAATGAATTTATAATTTTTCCATCATGATATAATTAAGATTTGGAATATATGTTTCTCTTTGTATATGTGTGTATATATACTTACTATGTGTTATAATGTTGCATATATATTTATATAGGAGGTGTGTCATAATTTTGCATACACTTGGCATGAGCTGCCTAAGGCTGGAGCTCTAAAAATTAGCAAAGAAGAAAAAGAGGGGGTGGGAGGAAGGAAAGGGAAGGAAAAGGAAACAGTATTCTCTGGTAAAATTGAGACTTACAAATCTGTTTCTCTTCTATCAGGATAATGATTATGATTGATGTAGAAGACAATTAGCTCTGCATGGCCAGGCTCCCTGCCCTGACTGCTTGATCTTATACATATGAAAACAGTTACAGGGAAACAGTTTAAAAAAGACCTTTTTTAAAGGTCTTTTTTAAAGTACTGCACAGAACACTTAGAGACCACCTTGTCCCTTCCAAGGGAGCCCAAAGGGTTCTATATTTTAAAGGTGTGTGAGAAAAACTGATTTCAAAGTTAGCCAAGTACGATAATTTCCTGTTCAACCTTTGGTGACACGTTAGTGAGAAATCTCCTTTTCCACTCATGACTCACTCTGAGCATCATGAGGCAGCCTGCAAAGTTCGCAGTCACTGACGTCCTAGGTTTCTGCCACTGACTCTCACCTTTTGGTGCTCAGCTCCCACAGGCCTCCTATGAGCACCACACCTCACCGCAGGAGGCCTGGCTCTCTGGCAACAGAGGGAGTTTGTCATTGCTCCCTTGTCTCCACCTGTCCAGTCAGTGAGGAGACTCTGCTATGCTGCACGGGGAGCAGCTGAGGCACAGTTCAGACAGAGACTCAAACTGGGACACGGATGCCTTTAAACAGCCCGGATAAATCCAGGCACATGGACACACACTGGAGGACTGTCCCACAGTTCGGTCCTGGTCTGTGGAGGCTTAGTCATCCCCTTGTGTTTCTGTTTCTTTATCAATGTAATTATGCCTGCAGCTGCAGACAACATGATAAGGTGTGAATTTTAAGTGTTGCAGGTCGTGCTCTGTGGCTCTTTGGAGAGAAACACATCCATTTATCCCAGAAGAAACAGGTTCTTAAAAGGACTCTCACTGAGCGGTGACAAACAGGGATAGTGGAAGTCGAAGCTAAAATAGTAATTTCAATAGCTCAGAGTTATTGAAGGCTCCGCATGCCAGAGGTGAGTATAAATTTCCTTATTTTTTTCACATTTTAGATGAATGCACTGGGCGATTAGTAACTTCTCAAAGTTCACAAGCAAGTTTTGAAGCCAGAATTAATTCTAGATCCCACTGACTCCAGGGCTAATTGAATGAATTATTAAGCTATGTTGAGCTATTAGGATTATATTTTATGTGACTAAAATGACACTGACTTTGACAGCCTTAGACTCTTTGGGAAAGTTTAAACCATCAACATTCTACTATGAATCATTTTTATCATGTATGGTTTCACATGTTAGCTAACTATTTCTTTAAATAAAATGGGTATTAAAATCACTTTTGAAGTATTTCCAATATCATTTGTTTTATGTAAGGTTTTCTGACGTACCATTTTCTAGCATTTGCAATATGTTTAAATTTTTAGTCATCCCTCTGAACTCAGTTATTTCAAATAAAACAAATGTAATAACATACAATTTATTTTTTAAAAAAAATATTAGCTATTAAAAGTAACGCGCAAGTTTTATATGCATATGTTTGTATCAGTCCTCCTAGACTACCCATGCCGAGCACTCGTGGTTGGTTTCAACTTATTACAAAAGCTCAGCATGTTGTTGTGTGCGCATGAGCATATCTGCATATATGTAGCAGTGATAATTAAAGAGGAGCTCAAGAATTCGATAGAGCGGAGACCATGAAACAGGTTGGGAGGGAAGAGAGAAGGATGGAAATAATGTGAAATTCTCTAAACAATAAAAAAATTAAATTAAAGAAATGAATTCAACATTCTTTTCTGTTACATTGTTGATATCTTTTGTGTAAGCATTAAACATTTCATGGTGTTAGTACTATGAAAACTAAATTTAATTTATAAAACATTTCAATTGTTTTGCAAACATCTTTCATCCTCGCTAAGTTATTGTCCTATCAAAGCATCTTGTCAAAAGCGGATTATCTTTTTAAAACTTTGTTAGTATTGTTGTTATTTTATCACAGCGCACGTACTCATTGAGCAAGAAAAACCAATAACTTTATATTAAAATTTCCAACTCTGAAATGAGCTCTGATGTTCTAAACTCCACCCCTTTTGGTTTCATCAGAATGTATACCTTTTTGTGAAACACCGCCCACCTTAACATAGAGCCGACCCTACCATCACCTACCAACTTCAGAGATGATGAACGAAAGAGTCACCTACACAGAGCTGAATGTGGCAAAGAGCTCAAGGAACCAGCAAAGAAAACCAAGGGGCCGGCGCAGTTCCATTTCGGTGATCGAGCAGGAAATCACCTATGCGGAATTCAGCTTTCAAGATGCTTCTCCAGAACACCGCCCAGTCTGCAGGGACCGCCACTGCAAAGGTGAGGTAGCAAATGGGACCTACCAAATGGGACCTCACTGCAATAGGATGCCAAGAGCATAACGGGGTGTGGGCAGCAGTGAAAATGGCGTCCTTGTGAGGATCAGAGCTCTGAATAGACCCGCGCTTTAAAAAGAAAACTTAATCACTTTATATCCTGTTTGTAGCCCCCTCCCAGTCCTCTTCCCCCTCCCTCCCTTCCTCTTCCACCCCATCCCCCATCCCTAGTCCACTGAAAGGGGAAGGCCTCCTCCTCTACCACCTGGCCCTAGTCTATCAAGTCTCATCAGAACTTGCCTGGATCCTCTTCGTCTGTGGCCTGGCAAGGACACCGCACCAGAGGGAGGTGATCAAAGGGCATGCAACAGAGTTCATGTCAGAGTCAGCCCCTGCTGTCTTTATTAGGGAATCATTTGGAAACTGAGCTGCCTATGGGCTACATCTGAATCTTCTCCATGCATGGTTGGTGTGTCAGTCTCTGCAGGACCCCCTGGGCCCAGAGTTGTTGGCTTTATTGGTCTCCTTGTGGAGCTCCTCTCCCCTCCTGGTCCTTCTATCTCTCCATTCTTCCATAAGATGCGCTGTGCTCTGCCCAAAATCTGGCTGTGAGTCTCAGTATCTGCTTTGATACCCTGCTGGGTAGAGACTTTCAGCGGACATCTGTGGTAGGCTCCTATCCTGTTCCCTCTCTTCCACTGCTTCTGGTGCCTATCCTGTTAGCAACTCTGTATGAGAATTAAACATCCTCCCCAGGGTCCTCCTTAGTATTTTGTTATTTTACACCTGGATTTTAGTATGTTTATCCTATATTATATGGCTAATATCTACTTATAAGTGAGCATATACCATGTGTGTCTTTTTGCTTCAGAGATACCTCACTCAAGATGATCTCTCCTAGTGCCATCCATTTGCCTGCAAATGTCATGATTTCTTTGTTTTTAATAATTAAGTAGTATTTCATTGTGTAAATGTACCACAATTTCTGTATCCATTCTTTGGTTAAGAGACATCTAGGTTGTTTCCAGATTCTGACTATTACATGAAAAGCTGCTATGAACATAGTTGAGCAAATGTCCTTTTTGTATGGTGGAGCATCTTTTGGGTATATGCCCAGGAGTGGTATAGTGGTATAGTGGTGGCTGTGTCTTGAGGTGCACTATTCCCAAATTTTCTGAGAAGGCGTCAGATTGATTTATAAAGTGATTGTACAAGTTTACATTCCCACCAGCAAAGGAAGAGTGTTCTCCTTTCTCCACATCCTCTCCAGCATGTGTTGTCTCTTGAGTCTTTGATCTTAGCCATTCTGATGGTTGTGAGGTGGAATTTCAGAGTAGTTTTGATTTGCATTTTCTGATAACTAAGGACATTGAGAATTTCTTTAAATGTTTCTCCACCATTCGATATTCTTCTGTTTAGAATTTTCTGTTTAGTTTTGTACCCCATTTTTAATTGGATTACTTGGTTTGTTGGTGTTTAATTTCTTGAGTAATCAAGCAAGTAAAAGACTTGTATGAAAAAAACTTCAAGTCTCTAAAAAGATATTGAAGACGATATCAGAAAATAGAAAGATCTCCTATGCTCATGGATTGGTAGGATTAACATAGTGAAAATGGCCATCCTACCAAATGCAATCTACAGATTCAATGCAATTGCCAGCAAAATATCAACACAATTGTTTACAGACCTTGAAAGAACAAGTATCAATTTCATATGGAAAAACAAAAACCTCAGAATTGTTAAAACAATCCTGTACAATAAGAACTTCTGGAGGTATCTCCAGCCCTGATCTCAATCTGTACTATAGAGCAACAGTAATAAAAATTGCATGATACTGGTGTAGAAGCAGACTGGCGGATCAATGGAATAGAATTGAAGACCCAGAAATAAACCCACACACCTACGGACATCTGATTTTTGTCAAAGATGCCAAAACCATACAATGGAAGCATCTTCAACAAATGGTGCTGGTCTAACTGGATATGTACATGTAGAAAAATACAAATAGATCCGTATTTATCACCTTGCACAAAATTAAGGTCCAAGTGGATCAAAGACCTCAACATAAAACCAGACACAGTAAATCTTTCAGAAGAAAACTTGGGGAAAAGCCTTGAAATGATTGGCCCAAGAGACAACTTCCTAATCAGAATACAAACAGCTCAGGCTCTAAGATCAACAATTAATAAATGGGACCTCATGAAACTGAAAAGCTTCTGTAAAGCAAGGGACACTGTCAACAGAACAACATGACAGCCTATAGACTTGGAAAAAAACCTTCACTAACCCTACATTTGACAAATGGATAATATCCAGACTATATAAAGAACTCAAGAAATTAAACACCAACCCTTGCTTTTTTAAATTGTGAGCATGGATGACATACTATTGAAAGAATTTGTGGATAATTTGTGGATCATTCTGTCTACCAAAAGTGAATTAATATTGACTACAGCAGATTGTGGCATGGAGGAGGGCCTGCAGCCAAAATTTATCTGTCTGACTCATTGTGTGTGTGTATAAACCTGTGAACAGCCACCCTTTGCTTGCATTTCTCGCTGCAGGTTTTCCATCTCCTTTAGAAAAACTCATTGCTGGGTCCCTGGGCATCATCAGCTTTGCCTTACTAGTTGCTGTGATTGTAATTACTACAGTCGCCACACCATGTAAGCACGTTTTTGTTTTTGTTTTTTTAAGATTATAAAGGACCTTTGAACTTTAATAACTGGAAGTGCCTTTCAAAATCTCTTATCAAGAACTGTAGCTTTTAGTTTAAAGTATGTAGTTGGATTAAATATGGAATCATTATTGTGGTTTTCTTAATATGACTATCAGAGGAATTGTACCATACTTTTGTTTTGATTTTATCAATGATTTCATAACTCAAACACATAATTTAGAACCTTGAAGATATGAAAACAGTTTTGAAAGTGAGTTTGCCTTAGGTTACACTGCAAAAGATATTGAAATTTGGGCTTTCATTGGAGTTCTTTTCTCCCCAGTTTTTCCCATGTTATCTATTGTTTGGCTGTATTCCACAGAATCCTAATTCAAAGTGGTACATCAGCTTCAGACTAAGCAACTAAAATTGTTACAGATATTTTGGATGTTAATTTTCACAAGAATTATTTTAACTCTTCAGATACTGAAGCAAAGGCACAGAGCAACTCGTCTTTGCCTACAACCAACAAAGGTATATATTGTTTGTCGAAGTTCTGATATTTGTACACATTATATTTTGTGTCTGACCATGCAAAGATAATAGTAGGTTTCTAGGTAGGAAATAACATAAAAACATGAATGCTATATGCTCATAAATAAACATTAAGAATGTAACCTTTTTGTCCCACAATAATATTCCCTTAAAATAACCACACAAAATTTTAATAATGGCTTGATTGTCCAACTGATGAACTCTGATAAGACAGAAATTAAGTCACTATTTTAAAACAGAGCTTATTTTTTTTGACGATGAAAACAATCTGTAGGGTGAACACTTGTTTATTTGCTTTAGATACACACTTACAAATGGAGCCAGAGAGGTACTCGTTTCTTTTGTTGGTTGTGAGCTTACGTATGTATTTAATTTTATATTTATTATTCTCTAGGCTATATATATATGTGTGTGTGTGTGTGTGTGTGTGTGTGTGTACGTATGTATGTATATTATATATATTACATGAATATTCAAAGCTATGAATATATATTAATTTTCATTGTTAAGTTCATGATGCTTCTAAAGAAACCCTAATCTCTCTTTAGCACGCCCTTGTGATTGTTGTCCAACGGACGGGATATCTTATTCCCACAATTGTTATTACATTGGTGTGGAGAAAAAATCTTGGAATGACAGCTCGGAGTCCTGCATTTACAAAACCTGTAATCTGCTTTATATAAATAATGAAGAGGAGATGGTAAGAGCTGGAGTGGCTCGATGATTACTTCACCTTCCTTTCTCTCAGTGCCATGTTTGGAGAGCCCCTTGCTATTCTGATACACGCTTCATTTATTTACAGCCCTGTATAATATTTTCATTGTTTTATTTTGCAAAGTTTTACTTGTATTTGAGTACTGGTAGTTAATATTCATTTCCAGTTTTTTTTTAATGTTATGAAAACCATTCTTGTACAAGCGCATTTAGTCTGAAATTAACTTTGCCACTTAATTTTACCGTATAAAAACAAATTGGTCAGAAAGTAACCTATCGGTCACATCACTAGGCAGAGATTTGTCTTTCCCCCATGTCTACTGTCATCAGGTCTCCCTGCCCGGAACCGTTTTTCTGACCTGTATTATAATTAGCTCCACATCCCTTTGAGTTTTGTAAGACAAGGTTGGGGCACATGTGTGCACTGATGCATAGACATCCTCTAACTCAGCAGTTCTCAACCTGTAGGTCACAACCCTTTAAAGGATACAGTGAAACATTCACGGGGGTCACATAAAAGCATGGGAGGCCCATAACAGTAGCAAATTTACAGTTAAGAAGCAGAAACAAAAACAATTTTACGGTTTTGAATCACCTCAGTGTGAGGAATGTATTAAAGGGTCACAGCATTAGGAAGGCTGGGAACCACCAGCATAACTCTTTCATGGACTTACTTAAAATGGATCAAATCATTGATCCATTTTACTGCACTGATCTATATTTTGCTAATTTTCACTGCTCTGTTATGCAAAGCAAAACATTCTAAAACAGACTTCATCTGGGGTCTCTGGATGGGAGCGATGAGTGATACACCCTCAAGGACAGAGGCATCTTACATGGCCTTTTTGCTCATGGGATTCTCTCATCCATTTCCTACCCTGGCATCCTTCAGTAGGTAGGAGAAGCCATTCACCCCAGCACTGCTGGCCAGCTTCCCTTATACACAAAGAAAGAGATCTCCCAGCATCCATCTACTGTTGCTTGGGTCCTGGGAGAGAGCTTGTAATGTCATTTCTTTCCATTGGACAGGGAAACTGGATTTCTTGCTGTTCTGGTGTCCCTCATCTTCAGGTGTCAAGCCCTTTCAGCTTTTTGTTTCAGGCCTTCAGAATTCCTTGGTTTTGTCTTTTATTGCTACTTTCCAAGTTGCTCTTGTACTTATCACAGTAGCCAAAAGAAACATTGATGCTACCTTGTCAGTAATCTACCCCTAGAGTGATAGACAACAGTAGGGCTCAGCCCCTTAGTGATAATATGGTACACAGAAAACAGCATCTTTGTCTACTACATCGCTCATTTATTCAAGAGCAAACCATGAACTTCCTTCTAAAACTGAACTTTGATGAGGAGTAGAAAAGTTGATTTGAGCACAGCATCAAGAAAATTTCATGCACAGTTTCTGGAAATGTGTTTGAATCCCTGCTATGCTTCTGTTGTTAACATGAGTGTCTACTAAGTTACATAAATCAATCACCAAATTCCCTACTGATATGAAAAAGACCACTTCCAACTATGAACATTCAACAGTTAATTCCAGATCAAAATTACACATATATGTAAGTGTTTGATAATGGAAGAAGTGTTGCTGGCATTAATAAGTCGATTTGTGTTGGACAATAACCACACTCTGACAGATTACACTAATGCATTTTAGAAATAATAAAAGGCCTTCATGCTGAAGAAAATTTCTTATTTCTCTGTCAGGACTTTCTGAAATCCCTCTCAGTGGTCTCATGGGTTGGAGTCTTTCGAAAGAGCAGGAGTCAACCCTGGGTTTGGAAAAATGACTCAACTTTCAAACCAAAGTAAGTTTTCTTCCTTCCTTCCTTCCTTCCTTCCTTCCTTCCTTCCTTCCTTCCTTCCTTCCTTCTCTCTCTCTCTTTCTTCCCCCCTCTCTCTCCCTCCCTCATTCTTTCTTCCTTCCTTCCTTCCTTCCTTCCTTCCTTCCTTCCTTCCTTCCTTCCTTTCTTTCTTTTTTTTCTCCTTCTTCTTCTTCTTCTTCTTCTTCTTCTTCTTCTTCTTCTTCTTCTTCTTCTTCTTCTTCTTCTTCTTCTTCTTCTTCTTCTTTTTGTTTCTTTGAGGCAGGGTTTCTCTGTGGAGGCTTGGCTGTCCTGGACTCGATTTGTAGACCAGGCTGGCCTTGCACTCCCAGAGCGCTGGTACCAAAGGTGTGCACCACCTCGCCCAGCTACTAAGTTTTCATTAATGACGCAATAAACAAGAAAGAAGAAAAGAAACCCTCAGAAGAACTGTGTCAATAAAAGAAGCTGAGTTATAGACAGACAGAGTGATGCTGACCTTCATGACCTGCTCATGTGAATCTGAAGAATGGGCAGCTTGGCTTTCATAAAACCAGTTCTTACCACACTGTTAATAAAGACGCCATTGCCCACTTTGATGAGATCCTTTTTTGCACTGGCTTATAGTAGGCATTCATTTGGTAGATATATGTGTGTGTATGGTATATATATATGTATATATAACATATACATGTTATACACACACACACATATATGAATTTTGTGGATCTGCCATTGCAGGATAGCAGACTCCTCCCATGATGAACATAACTGTGCCATGCTGTCAGCTTCTGGTCTCACAGCAGACAACTGTGCAACTTTACACACATATCTTTGTAAGTGTAAGCCCACCAGCTGAGACACCTGCACGGGAGTCTGCCAGGTAAGGTCAGAGTTCATAACCTGAATAGAATTGTGAGCGTGTACATTTTAAAGTGAATTATATTATTTGTCCTAATAACAACTTTCTTTCAAAAGCAATCATTGACGTATAGTAAGCACACAAAAAGTACAAATACTACCTTTGTATATGATTTGCTCAAGATAGTCTCTATAATATTACATTTCATCAGATTACACATCCCAGAAGGCTTTGTTCAGAAGTGCTGTTACTTTTCAAACTTACCGTTCAATGCACTGTAATAGGACTTTGTTGCATTGCCAGTTATATTACAAATCCAGCTTCTTTATTACATTTAGGTCATTCATTTTTACCTACATTTTCGTGTGTGTGTGTGTTTGTGTGTGTGTGTGTGTGTGTGTGTAGGCAAATGTGTTCTAAGATCTTTTTGTCTCATAGACATATTGAAATGTTTGCTTAATAAAGTTTCAATATTTAAGGTTTGTAAAATTTATATAGAAAAGTTTATTTTTAAATATGGGCATAAAATGTTTATACCTTAATTCTTTTTCAAGGTTCTTTAATCAATTTTATGTATCTTAAGTTTCTTCTTTTTGTTTTATTTTCAAGTTAGTAGTTTGTTTAGCCTCCTCCCTCATCTCCTGCTATTCCCATCTTCCCTCCATCTTTTTTGTTTTAAACTCTCTTTCACATTTTATTTTTTGTCTTCTTTTGTTTGTGTGTGTGTGTGTGTGTGTGTGCGCACACACACACACGCGCAAGCACAGTCACATACCATGGAGCATGTACAGAACTTACAGAAGTTGTTTTTCTACTACCATGTAGGATTGAGAATTTAAACTCAGGTTGGCATGTTTGATGGCAAACATCCCACATCCTTTAGGATTTTTGTTTGTTTGCTTGTTTGTTTTGGTTTGGTTTTTTGAGACAATAACTCCCTGTGTACAGACTGACCCCAAATTGCCAGCAACCATTCTGTCTTTCGAGAGCAGAGGTTTACAGGCATTTGTTCCTAAGGTTGGCTTTCTTCTATCTTTTCAGGGAAAGTGACTTTTGTCCTGATTGACCGTCTCTGTTGGAATTTTGTTCTTTATCATAATTTTGAACAGTTTATTGTTTTCTACTTTTTGCTTCAGTCGATGTGAACTTCAAGTTGTTTGGATTTTCTGATTTTAATTTCATTTTTTAATTTTTATTAATTACACTTTATTCACTTTTCTGTAATATGGCCTTTGAAGATATCAGTTATTTATAAGGAAAATTTTTCTATATTTTTCATATAATTCATAATTGAAAAGAGCCTTAATGATAATTTATTTTTCCTATATTACTTAAATTCTGGCTATTAAGAACAAAGCTACTATGAACACTGTTGAGCAAATGTCCTTGTGTACTTGAGCATCTTTTGGATATATGCCTAGGAGTGGCATAGCTGGATCTTGAGGAAGCGCTATTCCTAATTGTCTGAGGAAGTGCCAGATTGATTTCCAAAGTGGTTGAACAGTTTGTTTCTACCAACAAAGGAGGAAGTTTCCCTTTCTCCACAGCCTATATAACATGTGTTGTCACTTGTGTTTTTTGGTGGGTGTAAGATGAAATCTCAGGGTCATTAGAATCTCCTTGCCTCAAATTTTTCTTCATTTACTGATTTTTTTTTGATAAGCTGAATGGAATTTTCAGTGATGTTGACATGTGACTTTAGATATGGCTAGTAAGACTGAGAAATTTATTTTACATTTCATGAATAGCTACAGTTTGAATATCTTGTGCAAGTGTGGCTCATGGCTACTGTTTTAGCTTTAATACTAAAGCTCAGCTTTAGTACTATCTAATTATACCCTTAGCAATATTTGTGTGTTTCTGTGAAACTTTCCGTTGTTTTTCTAAGAACCCGAGCCTTCTGTGCTCACAGAAGTGAGTGTGTAAGTGAGAACCTGTGTTGTTTCCATAACTTCATAGATTCATCTGTTGACTGAGATATGATACAGACATATCTAGGTCCCGATCAGATTAAACTCCTGTATTCTAATTCTGTGTTTTATTATTGTTTGTCCCCTTATTAAATACACAACAACTAATGAAATATTATTAGTGGTTTTAATGACAATTTTGTCATTACTACTATCTCCATTAATGTTTTTCTGTCATTTTATGATAGTACACTATTGGTTCATTTTCTGTTTTGTTACTTTGATCTTTCTTTATGCTTCTGTTGAGAGTTTCTTATTAATAAAAAAAGTTGAACTACAAACCCATATTATTTGAGGTAAATATTATGTAGCTTATATTTAATGTATTATTAGATTGTTAAAAGTATTATTTATAAGTTGCTTTCCCAAGGACAAAATATATCAGGGCATGGGGATCCTCTATGACACTGTTTCTTCAACCAAGGACCATGTGTGGATATAACCTAGAACCCCTGCTCCGATGTAGCCCATGGTAGCTCAGTATCCAAGTAAGGGGATATACCCTAGTAAGGGGAACAGAGACTATTTCTGACATGAACTCAATGACTGGCTCCTTTACCTCACCCTACCCCCTGAGGGAGGAACAGCCTTGCTAGGCCACAGAGGAGGAGGACATTGCAACCAGTCTTGAAGATACCTGATAAGTAGGATCAGATGGAAGAGGAGGAGCACCTCTCCTAGCAGTGGTCTTGGAAAAGAACAAGGGGGAGATGAGGGAGGGTGGGATTGGGAGGCTATTAGGGAGGGGGCTATGGCTGGAATACAAAGTAAATAATCTGTGATTAATATTAAAAAAAAATAAAAATTCCATGCACTCTGCTCAGCAGTTGGCCATAAGTCTCAGCGTCTGCTTAGACAGTCTGCAAGGCAGAGCTTTTCAGAGGTCCTCTGTGGCAGGTTCCTAACTTGTTTCCTGTTTTCTTCTTCTTCTGGTGTCCATCCTCTTTGCTTTTTGGGATGGGGATTGGGCATTTTAGTCAGAGTCCTCCCTCTTGATTAGTTTCTTTAGCTGTATAGATTTTAGTAGGTTTATCCTATGTTATATGTCTATATGAGTGAGTATATACCGTATGTGTCTTTCTGTTTCTGGAACAGCTCACTCAGGATGATCCTTTCCAGTTCCCACCAGTGCATGGAATCTTATGAAAGTGGGAAATAGTAAGATCTGGAGAGGGCAGGAACTCCACAAGGAGAGCAACAGAACCAGAAAATCTGAACAGAGGGGTCTTTCCAGAGACTCATACTCCAACCAAGTACCATGCATGGAGATAACCTAGAACCCCTGCACAGATGTAGCCCATGGCAGTTCAGTGTCCAAGTGGGTTCCATAGTAATGGGAACAGGGACTGCCTCTGATAAACTGATTGGCCTGCTCTTTGATCACCTACCCCTGAGGCGGGAGCAGCCTTACCAGGCTACAGAAAATGACAATGCAGCCACTCCTGATGAGATTTGATAGATTAAGATCAGAAGGCAGGAGAAGGGGACCTCTCCTACCAGTGGATTTGGGGAGGGGCAGATGTGAAGAAGATTGGGATTAGGAGGGGAGGTGGGAAGGGTTTATGGGGGGATACAAAGTGAATAAAGTGAAACTAATAAAAGTTAAAAAAAATCCAAAAAAATAAAATTAAAATTAAAAAAAATTAATTAACTCTAATTTTCATTTAATTTTCAACACTTTTATTATGCAAACTATGCCTTTTGTATCTTTGTATTTTCACCATATTTTCCTTGATCACATTCTATTACATGATTTTTTTAATTTAACTTCAATTTGTTAATTTAATTTTAAACATTCTTTATGTCTCACATTTTACATTTTATATAATTCATTACTCATTAAAATCCAACAAATCACTGGCTTCCATGGGCTACATCTGTGCAGGGGTTCTAAGTTATCTCCATGAATTATCCTTGGCTGGAGTATCAGTCTCAGAAAAGACTCCTGGGCCCAGATTTTTTGGTTCTTTTGCTCTCCTTGTGGAGCTCCAGTCCCCTCCAGGTCTTTCTATCTTGGGTTCCCTAGTAATGGGAACAGGGGCTGTCTCTGACATGAACTCAGTGGCTGGCTCTTTGATCACCTTCCTCTGTGGGGGAAGCAGCATTACCAGGCCACAGAGGAAGACAATGTAGCCACTCCTGATGAGACTTGGTAGGCTAGGGTCAGATGGAAGGGAAAGAGGACCTCTTCTATCAGTGGACTGGGGAAAGGGCAAGGGAGGAGAAGAGGGAGGGAGGGCAGGATTGGGATTGGGAAGGGAGAAGGATACAGCTGGGATACAAAGTGAATAAATGGTAATGAATTTTAAAAATAAAAAATTTTTAAAAATTAAAAAGAAATCAGTAAATTCACAAAAGTTCTGACAACCTTCAACTTTTACTCAGTCTCTATTCTATTATTTTCTTTCAGAAATGCTACAGTGAAATTCCTGGTACTGATAAACTTTTAAATTTGATACTTTGTCACCATTATTTCACCCCCTCAGTATCTATTTAAGAAATCTCCAATAATTCCTTCTACTCTTCTCTTTTGCATGCCCAAGGCTCTCATCTACAGGAAGTGTTTATCTTTAGGAGAACTTCAAGTGTTATCTTTAGTCATAATCAACTGGTGACTGCCTACTTTTGCTGATTCCTGAGAAATGAATTAACTTTGCACCATAGTTAAAAAAAAAAAAAAAAAAAAAAACACTGACTTCTTTTTTACTTCCAAGTTAGTCATCTTTGTGTCAACATTCCTTCAATAAGATACCAAAGGACAGTTATTTTCATAGTACTTTCCTTACAGATGGGTAATTTAGAAAACACAATTATCCTTTTCAAAAAATAATTTTTCCTATATTTAAAGGATAAATTCTAGCTATTTTGTTATATTAAATCACTTTACTTTGTTTTTAAAGTTTTGTTATATCATTGTCTGAATGTAGATTTCATAGTTACATCCCAAAAAAGTAAAAGCCCATATTATTGTATATAATAAAAATATGTTCTATATATCATATGTAGGATTATATAATTTAAAACTTAAAGTCAATGCCTACACCAGTAATATGTATAGCTACATTAAATATGAAAAAGTAACATAAATGAATAGAGTGTGATTTACAGTACTTGAGAGGTTTAAATCTTAAGTGTAAATGTAAGCAAAATAAATTTAGTTCTGGTAAATTAAACATGCATAGAGTACATATACAAAGCATTTAAAAATAAGATTTAGTTTACAAAAACAAAATACAATTAATAGTAATATAGGTAGACTCATTGTATAAGGCATGTAGGTCCATGTTCTCACAGATAAACACTAGGAGCATCCGGAATGTTAAAAACGCAATGTTGTCTCTTCAAAGAGAAAGATGTATAACTTGTTTTCTACCCAGAAAGCTGGAAGTGGAGGTGATTAATTGCCTGGTTACTTTTGCACTGGATGTCTGTCTGAAGCCATACAGTATTGTCACCCAGATACTCACCTTGAGTCTATTTTTTTTGTTAATCCATTTCTATTAGATGTCACTTTGAACTTTACAGAGTTTAGATATGGTCATCTCTTAGACTTTGTTGTGTACAAAGGCTTAATTTTCATCAGAAAACTTTTATCCAAATTGTGCTGTGCATAAATATGTCTAAAATAAACTACTTGAGGTCAAAGTCTTAAAGTTCGAATCAGTGCTGGCTAATTCCCATTGTTACCCTCTGATCATTACCCTGCTGGCCGTGGTGGTAGCAGAGAACCATACAATTCATGATTCAATTAGTGATAGTGACATTCTGAGAAATGTATCTTACATAGTCTCGTGTAATGAGGCAAACTGTAATAGGCCGACTGCCACAGCTGTAGTGTCTTCAGCTACATAAAATTGTGGGACCATAGTTAAAAGTGATTCCCTGCTGACCAGAATACTTTCATTGCTGTTGGTTTGTTTTGTCTGTTGGGTTGCTGGAAATGTTCCCACGTACTGGTCAAGTACTGTATGACACTGAGCCACATTCTTAGCCACAGAATTACGTAGCCAATGACCGTACAAGTCATACTGATGGCTCTAGAGATCTAAATTCTATTTCTGTAGACTTTAGGAAATAATGTTTGAGCTCAGTCTTCCAGACATTTCATGGTCATGTACACCCCAGTTTGTTAACTGAAGAGACAGTTAACAAACTCCCCTTTGGTCAATTTTGGAGAAGGATCCATGTAGGGCTCAGAAGAAAGCATATTCTTTTCTGTTTGGGTATCTGTTAGGTCCATTTGATTCATGACATCAGTTGGTTTCATTATTTCTGTTTAGTTTCTGTCTTGTTGACCTATCAATTGGTGGGAAGAGGGTGTTGAAGTCTCCTGCTATTAATGTGTGGGGTTCAATGTATGATTTAAGCTTTAGGAATGTTTCTTTTATGAATTTGGGTGCTCTTGCATTTGGGGCATAGATGTTCAGAATTGAGATGTCATCTTGGTGGATTTTTCTTTTGATGAGTCTGTAGTGCCCTTTCCCATCTCTTTTAATAACTTTTGCTTGATAGTGTGTTTTATTAGATATTAAAATAGCTACTCCTGCTTGTTTCTTGGCTCCATTTGCTTGTAATACCTTTTCCTCCAGTCCTTTACTCAGAGGTAATGTCTATTTTTGTTGCTCAGGTGTGTTTCTTGTATGTAGTAGAATGATGGATCTTGGTTTTGTCATAGAATATCTTGTTTTCTCCATCTATGTTGATTCAAAGTTTTGCTGGGTACAGTATTCTGAGCTGGCATCTGTGATCTCTTAGGGCCTGCAGGATATTTGTCCAGGCCCTTCTGGCTTTTAAAGTCTCTGTTGAGAAGTCTGGTGTAATTCTTATAGGTCTGCCTTTATATGTTACTTGTCCCTTATCCTTTGCAGTTTTTAATATTTTTTCTTTGCTCTGTACATTTAGTGTTTTTATTATGTGGTGGGAGGATTTTCTATTTGGTGTTCTGTAGGCTTCTTATATATTTATAGGCACCTGTTTCTTTAGGTTTGGGAAATTTTCTTCTATGATTTTGTTGAAGATATTTTCTGGGCCTTAGAGTTGGAAATCTTCACCTTCTTCTCTTCCAATTATTCTTAGGTTTGGTCTTTTTATGGGGTCCCAAATTTCATGGATGTTTTGTGTTAGAAACTTTTTAGATTTGGCATTTTCTTTGACTGATTAGATTTCTTCTATTGTATCCTCTATGCCTGAGGTTCTCTCTTCCATTTCTTTTATTGTGTTGGTGTTGCTTTTGTCTGTAGTTCCTGTTCTCGTCCCTAGGTTTTCCATTTCCAGGATTGCCTCAGACTATATTTTATTGCCTTTGTTTTCTTTTTCATGACTTAAACAGTTTTATTCAATTCCTTCTCTTGTTTGCTTGTGTTTTTCTGTTTATCTTTAAGGGATTTTTTTTCATTTTCTTCACCTGTTTGTTTGTATTTTCTTGTATTTCTTTGAGGGATTTATTTATTTTCTGTTTAAAGGCCTCTGGTAGCTTTACGAGATTAGATTTAAGTTACTTTTCCTGAGCTTCAGGTATATTAGGATATCCAGGCTTTGTTGTAGCAGGATAATTGGGTTATGATGACACTGGGTTTTGTTGCCTGTGTTATTATGTTGTTCTCCAGACAAACGGTTGTCCCTAATGCTGACAGACTTGAAGGTCCCTGGTAGTGCCTGATGGCTGTCACCTTTAGTAGTTGCTGATGTCTGTTTTCTCTCTACTGACAGTCTCCAATCGTTGCTGTCCCTGGGACCCCAAGCAGAGATGGCTGCCCAGGAGTTGGTGTGTGGAGTTCACAGAACAGACCTCACCTCAGCTGTTGGTGTTCAATGGCTGCAGTCCCTGAGACTAGAGGCTGAGCTGGTGCCCAGAAACACTCCTTCACTTTTTTTGTTTTAGGGACAGACTTTACATAGTTTCATTCCTGGAACCAGCATGAATCTCTATAGATCAGACCATCACTGAGTTTGAGGCACTCCTACCTCAGTTTCCCAAGTAACTTGGATTATAAATCTAAACCACTAGGCCAGGCATCCTGGTTACTTTTTCATTGTAAACCTGACACAACCTGGAAGAAGTATCAACTGAGGAATTGCCTCTATCAGATTGACTTTCTAGTCACTACTGTGAGAGGCTATCCTGAGTGATGACTGATGTGGGATGGCCCATCCCTTTGTCTATGGCATCATTTCTAGCCGCATAGTCCTGGGCCATATAAGACAGCTTGAAATGAAAGCGGTGTTCATTCTGGCTTTCTGTTTCAGTTCCTGCCCTAGCTTCCCTCAGTCATGGATATGACCTGAAAGTAGGTATTGTAATAAATCCTTTCCCTCCTGAGTTGCTTTGGGTCAAAATGCCTTTTGTTTCAATTTTTTTGATTTACTTTTTTGTACTATATTCATCTTATCGCCCCCTCTGTCCTCTCCTCCAGGTTCCACCTTCCCTCCCATTTCCCCCCATCCCTCTCCCCTGGTCCACAGAAAGGGGGAGCCCTCTTCCCCTACCATCTGTCCCTAGCCTGTCAAGTCTCATCAGAACTTGCCTGGATCCTCTTCCTCTGTGGTCTGACAAAGCTGCCCCACCAGGAGGAAGTGATCAAAGAGTGGGCAACAGAGCCCATGTCAGAGATAACCCTTGTTCCCTTTACTAGGGAACCCACATGGAGAGCTGCCTATGGGCTACATCTGAGCAAGGGATCTTCTCTATGAGTGGTTGGGGCATCAGTCTCTGCAGACCCCACTGGGCCCAGATTTGTTGTCTTTGTTGGTCTCCTTGTGACGCTCCTGTCCCCTCCAGGTCTCTCTATCCCACCACTCTTCAATAAGACTCCCTGTGCTCTGCCCAAAGTTTGGCTGTGAGTCTCTTTCTGCTTCTAACCCCTGCTGGGTGGAGTCTTTCAGAGGACATCTATGGTAGGCTTCCATCCTGGTCAAAATGTTTTATCACAGAAACAAAAATCCAACCAGAATGCCAGGCTTTCATGCTTTCCTTTAATTCTTGCCAATCTATTGTGCTTCGTGGTATGAACTATCAATTTATATTAAACCCACACATCTATTGAAACATGCTAATTTTTACAGTGAGGTACAATTCAGATGTCTGTGGAAATCTGAACTAGATTTTTGGATTCAGCTGCAACATAGTGTTCACCCCACATCTCACCCAGCTGGATGGTCCTAGGCTTCCCATCCTATATAAGCTTATGGGAAACTTACTACATTAAGCTTTAAGCACATTTACCTGAAGCATAATCCCTGACATCTCCTGCTACACTCCAGTCCAGTGACTACACAAGAAGTAGCCTGACTGGAATTACAACCTCAAAGTGCTCCCAGCACCTTGAAGGAAGTGAAAAGAATTGTCATGATTCAAATAAGATATGTATTCACCTTTCTGTGTGAGTGTCAGAAGACATGCACTGCAATGGTGAGTTGAAATTGGAAACTGGTTCACTATAATTTATTTCACATTTAATAGTCCAACATCTAAAGTGGGTATGGTAAATATGTTACTGATGTGCTGCTAAAATCTCTATCATTTTACAAAACACATGTTTACTGAAAATACAAACCCATTCTAAAAAGAGAATTAGATTTGTGGTTGAGGCATTTTGGAATGAGTTTATCTTTTCTATTCTGCATGAGTGTAACCCTCCTACCCCATGAACAGCTATTTCCTTGACTTTCTCATGGCTTCCATTTCTCCCTGCAGATTTCTTGTTCCCGTCAGATGAACTCGAGACTAGAATCCAAAGGATCATCTGCTCCCTCTAAACGTCCCATTTGGCAGTGATAAACATAATTGTTGCTGCCTGTAAGAATGATTTTTGGATGAGTATAGGGGAATTTTTCACTCTGATGGCAGGAAGCCTCTGTACATATTTCTCTGTTTGTAGTCATGAGAGGACACACTTAACATATATTTATTTATGTGTTCTTGTACATAGAAATCTGTCAAACGTTTATTCTGAATTTATCAAAACTGCAATAAACAAAATTATTTCATGTCTATGTGTTGTAATTTTGTAATTCAGTGACATGCTTCTGGAGACTTAAAAAAACAACATATCTAAGAAGCCTCCAATGTAAACACTCAAACAAACCAGGTTACTGCCAAGGCTATTATTGGTGGCTTTCTGCAAACTGAGGGTGAGGCCTTGTTGCTGAAGACAACACCTACACAATTCACTGAACACAGAGAAGTTTATCTGGTGCCTAAGTAAAGATTGTACCTTGCCAGGCTGCAGAGGAAGTCTCTGCAGCCAGTCTTGATGAGACCTGATAGGCTAGGGTCAGATAGGGAAGGAGGACTTCCCCTGTCAGTGGACTAGGGGAGGGCCATGAGAGGAGAAAAGGGAGGGAGGGTGGGATTGGGAGGAGTTGAGGGAGGGGGTTACTGCAGGCATACAAATTGAATAAATTGAAATAAATAATAAATACAGAGACTGTGACAGCATGCAAGGGGCCTGCATGGGCCTGAACCAGATGGAATCCTAGAACTGGAAGTTGAAATAAACATGTCCCCATTTCTAACCGAGAAGCTCTCTCCAACTGATAGACACTTGCAAGTAAAATTAATTTTCTCAATGGGAGTCACATTGAGGAAAAAAACCCACTCTTAAAGGTAGGCTCTAGGTCCAGGCCCAACTATAGATGGCCAACTCAAAACTAACTCTTTAGTATCTTTGGAGGTTCTTTGTCTCCAATGTTGTCAGTCTTTGTTTTTGTTTTGTTTTTTTAACTTACAGATCCTTCACGTATGTATTTTGGCTTCCGGTTTTAAACTTTATTTAAAATTCCTGTGTGTGAATGTGTATGTCTCTGTGTCTGTATGCATTTCTTGTGCTTTTTGATTAACTCCTTTTTTTTTCTGTCTGTTGTTTTGTCCCATTATGAGTTGCTTTGTTTTGATTTATATTATTATATTATTCCTTTGATGCCCGTTTGTTTTCTAACGGGAGACGAAAAGAGCATAGAGACAGATGAGAGGTGAGATGTGGAGAAACTGGAAGGTGTCGGGAAGGGGAAACTAATCACAATATATTATATGAAAACATCTTTTTCAATGAACGAGAAAAAAAAATCTAAGAACTTCTTGTAATGGGAAGCTTGGTCATTGTGGTTAGTCCTTTCTCGCCTTTATAGAACACATAGCAATTCTCGTGAGATACTCGGAAAATTACGCTACACAGCCCACTTAGAGGACCACTGTGTCCTTTCAACAAGAACTCAAAGGGTCCTACAGTGTAAAGGTGTGATGAGAAAAACTGATTTCAAAGTCAGCCGAGTATGAGAATTTCCTGTTCAACCTTTGGTGACACGTTAGTGAGAAATCTCCTCTTCCCTTGACTCACTCTGAGCATCATGAGGCAGCCTGGGAAGTTGGCAGTCGCTGATATCCTAGGTTTCTGCCACTGACTCTCACCTTTTGGTGCTCAGCTCCCACAGGCCTCCTATGAGCACCACACCTCACCGCAGGAGGCCTGGCTCTCTGGCAACAGAGGGAGTTTGTCATTGCTCCCTTGTCTCCACATGTCCAGTCAGTGAGGAGACTCTGCTATGCTGCACGGGGAGCAGCTGAGGCACAGTTCAGACAGAGACTCAAACTGGGACACGGATGCCTTTAAACAGCCCGGATAAATCCAGGCACATGGACGCACACTGGAGGACTGTCCCACAGTTCGGTCCTGGTCTGTGGAGGCTTAGTCATCCCCTCGTGTTTCTGTTTCTTTATCAATGTAATTACGCCTGCAGCTGCGGGTGACCTGATGGCGGAAGTGTGAATTTTAAGTGTGGCAGTTTGTGATCTGTGGCTCTTTGCAGAGAAACACATCGATTTATCCCAAAGGGCACAGATGGAGAGCTTGACAGACCAAGTTGGGTATTAACTACTTTAACTACCTTACATTTATTGTATATACTTGAACTTACCTTCTAGAGGAGTAAACGGGGTTATTGGATTCCAACTTCCAGTAACTTTTCTACAGTCACATGTTATGAGCCTCAAAGCCAGAATTAATTCTAGATCTCACCAATTCCAAGACTCATGGATTAAATAGTTAAATCAAATCTTCTAGTGAAACTGAATTCACAATCAGTTAAAACAGTGTATTATAACAACCATAGTTTCTCTGGGCAAGTATGAACCAACAATATTCAATTACATAGTACATTCATTTCATCACTTTGTAGTTTCAGGGTTTACCCATGGTATGAATAACTATTTTCTCAAGTAAAATAAGTACTAAAAATCACTTTCAAGAAAAATAACATTGAAAGTATTTCAATTATTATTTAATTTGCACATGTTTATTTTTGACACAAAACATTTTCTAATACTTATAATATCCTTAATTTTTTTAATTTCTCTGAACCCCTCCATTACTCCAAATAGATTCTAATTTAATAGCACTTTATTTTATTAAATTCATATAAATTATTGACTAAAAATAAGATAATCCAAGTAATTAAAATATCAACCTTCCTAGTCATTCAGTTTTAGAACATTCAGTTTCTACTCCTTATTGAAACTGATGCATACTTGGTTTTTATTACAGCATTGGGCCTTTTCATGTAGGCATTGAAATATTTCACGGTGTTGTTCCTATGAAAACTGAATTTAATGTATAAATTTTACCCTTTATTTGTGAACCTTTTGGTCTCACTAATTTATTTTCATTTCCCCTACTAAAAACAGTTTGTCACAGTTAGAGTATTTTTTTAGCCATAGCACAGGAGCTCAAAGCACAAGTTAAAATTTAGATAGTCAAACTGTACAAAGGCTCCAGTTCTCTGTGGGCTCCTCCTTTGTGACTGCATCAGGATGTGCGACTTCTTAAGAAGCATCTCCGTAGCACAGATCACAGCAGAATCACTGAAGAGCACAGAGCAGGTATCACTGCGCCGCAGACAGGAATCATGGGGGACTTGCTGGGACCTGAACGTCGCTCAGAATCCAGGGAAGCAGCAAAGAAAACCCAGTCACAGCTCCATTTCAGCAAGGGAGCAAAAGATCACCCGCTGGAGTGCAGCCTTCAACATGCTTCCTGGAAGCACCTCAAGACCAGCAGACACCACAACTGCAAAAGTAAGGCACCAAATCTCATTGTAACCGCTCTGGGGTTTCCCCTGGCATGCGGAGGTGGGAATATGTCCCTTATGGGAAGAAAAGGAGCTCCAATGTGGCCCGGGCTGTCATAAGGTAAGCTGTGGGCATAATTTTCATTCAGGCATTGTCGCAAGAGCATCTGCAAATGCGATGGTGTTTCCTACTGACTGATTGCAGCATAGAGGCTCAGTTTATCCTCCTGCTTCTCTGAGCTCTCTTCTGTGTAAACCCTGTGGACATGAGTCCGTTTTCTTTCTCATCACTTCCATTTATCTCTACAGACTTTTTATCACCTCCAGAGAAGCTCATCTCTGGGATCCTGGGCATCATCTGGTTTGCCTTATTGGTCGCTTTGGTGATATCGGCCAGAGTTGCCTCTCCATGTAAGCATACTTTCAAGACATTTTAGGAGAGCCTTCCCCTTTGATGACCAAGTGTCTCTCCATGTTCCTTCCTATTAAGAAACATAGCTTTTATTTTCAAATACATATGTAGATTAAATGTGAAATGGTTACTCTAATTTTGTCAAACTTAAGAATGACAGGGGCATTACAATATATTTGCTGTTAAGTATACCAGTTATGACTTTTAAAATTCAACAACACTCTTCAGAATACTCCACTGAGAAACACAAATTAAGCTGTTTTTTTTTATTTTTTATTTTTTACAAATGAAGTTTTGAAAGTGTTTCCCCTCATGGGTTGTCTGGTGAAGATGTTGAAATTTAAGCTTTCATTTGAACTAGTTTTCCCCCAAGATTTTACCATATTATTCATATTTTTGCAAATGCAAATGTATTCTGTGTTTATTTTAATGCATATAGTTCATCACTTTCAAGCTAAGAAGGTAAAATTGTTTGGATGTCCAATTTTTTGAGCAGTACTTTACCTCTCCAGATATTGAACCAAAGGAGCAGAACCACTCCCTCGTGATCATAACCCAGAAAGGTACATCTCACTTGTCAAAGTTCTGAGGTTTGTACATATTATATTATGTTTTGTGTCTAACTTAAGCCATGCAAAGGCTTAAGTTATATTTCTAGGAAGGAAATAATCTAGAAACGTTAACACTACATTCTCGTAAATAAACATGAAAGGATCAAAATACTTTCTGTTCAGCAATAAGAAGAAATAATAAGGTAAAATAACCATTCAAAAATTTGATGGTTGACATAAGTTCCCTACTGGCAAACTATGTTGAGTTAGAAGTGAAATCGGTCTTAGAATAGAGATTATACTCAGTGAAATTATGAAAAAACTTGTGGAGACGATTTGATTTTGATTTATGTGCTTTATATGGACACATAAACTATGGACCAGAAGTTAACTCTATGTTGGAGTGTATTTGGGTGTGTATTTTGTTTTCTGTACAACAGCATATGAGGAACATAGGTACGTTTTGTACATGGATGTTCAAAACTGTGCAAACATGTAAATTAATTTTTATTATTAAGTCCATGTGGTTTCTAGTTAATAAATCATAATCTTTCTTCAGCACATCCCTGTCGTCATTGTCCAAAGGACTGGATATCCTATTCCCACAACTGTTACTACATTGGTGTGGAGAAAAAATCTTGGAATGACAGTTCTGAGTCCTGCATGTCCCAAACCTGTAATCTGCTTTATATAAATAATGAAGAGGAGATGGTAAGAGCTGATATGTGTCAATCATTGCTTAACCTTTCATTCTGTCAATGTGATGTTTGTAGAGGCCATTCATATTATTTTTTTCTGAAAACAGGGTTTCTCTGTGTAGCCTTGTCTGTCCTGGAACTCACTCTATAGACCAGGCTGTCCCCAAACTCACAGAAATCCACCTGCCTCTGCCTCCTGAGTGCTGGGATTAAAGGCATCCTGGGAGAGAGCTTGTAACATCAATTCTTTCCATTGGACAAGGGAAACTGGATGTCTTGCAGTTCTGGAGTCCAACATCCTCAGGTGTCAAGCCCATTCAGCTCTTTGTTTCAGGCCTTCAGAATTCCTCAGTTTTGTCTTTTATTGCTACTTTCCAAGTTGCCCTTGTACTTATCACAGTAGCCAAAAGAAACATTGATGCTACCTTGTCAGTAATCTACCCCTACAGTGATAGACAACAGTAGGGCTCAGCCCCTTAGTGATAATGTAGTACACAGAAAACAGCACCTTTGTCTACTATGTCGCTCATTTATTCAAGAGCAAACCATGAACTTCCTTCTAAAACTGAACTTTGATGAGGAGTAGAAAAGTTGGTTTGAGCACAGCATCGAGAAAATTTTATACACAGTTTCTGGAAATGTGTTTGAATCCCTGCTATGCTTCTGTTGTTAACATGAGTGTCTACTAAGTTACATAAATCAATCACCAAATTCTGTACTAATATAAAAAAGACCACTTCTAACTATGAACATTCAACAGTTAATTCCAGATCAAAATTACACATATATGTAAGTGTTTGATAATGTAAGAAGTGTGCTGGCATTAATAAGTTGATTTGTGTTGGACAATAACCACACTCTGACAGATTACACTAATACATTTTAGAAATAATAAAAGGCCTTCATGCTGAAGAAAATTTCTTATTTCTCTGGCAGGACTTTCTGAAATCCCTCTCAGCGGTCTCATGGGTTGGAGTCTTTCGAAAGAGCAGGAGTCAACCCTGGGTTTGGAAAAATGACTCAACTTTCAAACCAAAGTAAGTTTTCTTTCTATTATTATTATTATTATTATTATTATTATTATTATTATTATTATTATTATTGGTTTCTTTGAGGCAGGGTTTCTCTGTGGAGTCTTGGCTGTCCTGGACTCGATTTGTAGACCAGGCTGGCCTTGCACTCCCGGAGCGCTGGTACCAAAGGTGTGCACCACCTCACCCAGCTACTAAGTTTTCATTAATGATGCAATAAACAAGAAAGAAGGAAAGAAACCCTCAGAAGAACGGTGTCAATAAAAGAAGCTGAGTTATAGACAGACAGAGTGATGCTGACCTTCATGACCTGCTCATGTGAATCTGAAGAATGGGCAGCTTGGCTTTCATAAAATCAGTTCTTACCACACTGTTAATAAAGACGCCATTGCCCACTTTGATGAGATCCTTTCTTGCACTGGCTTATAGTAGGCATTCATTTGGTAGATATATGTGTGTGTATGGTATATATATATATATATATATATATATATATATATATATATATATAT